TCTAATGTGTAGAACTAGTTTTCTAAAGGGCCACTTTAAGATATGAACTCGTGCTAAGATTTGATCATTTCGAGCAAATTCTTTGTGATATTATCAGTAAGTCAATCCCAAAGAGGATCTGTATGGTATGAAGCAGCTCTCTGAAAATTAATTCTGAAATTATCATTAAAAATGATAAAAAAATTTCAAAATTATTGAGAGTATTATAAATATTTTTTCTTCAAAAAATAATATTGGAGGAGTTTTGTAATGAAAAACTCTTTTTTATTAAAAAAATTAAAAAATTAAAAATTTTTCTTTAGAAATTATAATATGAGAAGTTTGATAATTTCTTGAAAAGCAATAAATATTTTAAAAATTTTCGTTATCCATTATTGATTCATTATTGAAATGGTCATTTTTAATGATTTTGAAGATATTTTTTGAGTTAAAATTTATATTAATTTTAAAGTATTTATAAATAAAATGATGGACTACAAAATACTTTATTATTTTCTTACGAAAATATAAGAAGTGATATAAGAAGTAGAAGTCTTTGAGAAAGACATTTTTTGCTTTTTCTTTGAAGTACATCAAAATTGCGTGTTTTGATAATAAAGTGAAGGGCACCTTAATTATCTGAAGCAGACATTTAGTTTTTTTTATGAACATTCAGGAACATCAATTGGATTGCATACTATTCTTCTTGAAAGTGTCTTCTTTAAGTGCAAGTCGCCAAGTAAACTTTTAATTAGCTGTTGACGCAAGTATTGATTGCCATTTGCCTAAGGGCTTTTTGGTTTGAAGCAAAATATTAGAAAGTATTTCAAATGTGGGGATTTTGAGAATATTAGAGTTTAGTTTGAAGTAAAGCGAATGTAGTGTAAAATCTTGGTGTATTTAAAATTTACCCTCAAATTCAATTTTGGTTCATTTGAAATTTCTCAATTTTGGATGGTTTTAAATATATCATAAATTTATCGTCATTGCCGCCACTCGTCGCCACATCTCCAGCCACCGTCCACCTTCGGCTGCTGTCAGCCACCATCACCACCTCCTGCTGACAGTCACCGCCCCCCTTCAGCCACCACCGTCATTATCAGTGACCACAACTATAATCGCCGCCCACCTTCAGTAGCCATCACCATCACTTGCTAACCCACGTCGTCACTAGCCTCCACATACGGAAACCATCACCGCTGACATGTCACTAGGGGTGTCAATTTCGGGTCACGGGTCGGGTTTGGGTTGAACCTGGAACTGTCCCAATTTCAAACGGGTCAACCTTAACCCGACCCAGGTATGTAAATTGCTCGTGGGCATGTGCGCGGGCGCGCGCAGACGCGTGCGCTGGTAGCCTCGGGCATGAGTGTAAGTGAGCCGAGACGGCTCGAGCTCGACTCGTTTATGGGCTCGTGAGTCGAGTTTGAGCTCATTTAGTAAATGAGCTCGAGTTCGAGCTTGATCAGCTCAAATAAATATTAATATTTTTAAAATAATTTTATTTATTTGTCAAGAGCTGTTGCGCGGGCAGCTGGGCGGGCAGGCAGGCAAGCGGGGCAGTGCATGCAGGTGATTTTAAACGGGTTTGCTAGTTGATCCGGTAACCCGTTGGGTCAACCCGAACCCGACCCGTTTTGAAATCTGGTCAGGTCAAACCCGAAATTTTCGGGCCGGGTTAGAGTCGGGTTTTCGTGTCGTGTCAAATATCAACACCCCTACATGTCACCTACAACCACCATCGCCATTATCGACCGCCGATCGCCACCCTTTTTGGACTTTACACTACATTTATTTTACTTCAAACCAAATTAAAAAAAAGAAATCTCATGCATTCATTTTACATTCATCCAAATAACTAAAATGTATTCCTTTTACACTACATCCATTTTACATTACATTCATTTTTCAATCAATCAAACAACCCTCATAGTTATAGAATTATAGTCAAATTTTAAAGAAGTGGCGACCTAAAAATCATGTGAGTATGGCGAGTACAAGATCGAGATTAGCTCATAAATAAGTTTACATAGCCACTGACAAATCCCCGAGTTATGATCATGATCTTTGTAAAAAACACATACATTTAGTTTATGTAATATAATGGATGCGACCAATACAAATATTCCTAATCTTTAATCTTATTCACAAAGTTTCCATATGTTACTCGTGAAGTAATATCAGTTGTGTACCTATTTACCATTTGCAACTTATCTTTGACTAATTGTTCATTGGTTTGTCATTGTTAGAGTAAATTTCAATATCTATCGAGTTGAAATCACATTGATGTTTGGTCTGCTGATGGTGGTAATATCATCATAAATTTCTAACATCTTTTAGATTATCAAGATCTTCTCGAAGATATTTCATCACCTTTGCTCTCCTTCATGTTTATATGATTACTTGAAAGTTTAGAACTTCTGAAATGCTCTTAGGATGAAGCCTTGAGAACCATTTTAATGGTGTTTCCTTACAAGTTGTAGATAGTAGTAATAATACCATTTATGTTGATGGAGAAATCAACAACTCAAATGAAGTAATTTGATCTACTGAGTCTAACTTCCCTTTGAGGCATTCAGAACATTGCATTTTGAACTTTTAGTGGAGGTTGAGCTTTCATATATAATATGAATAGAAAATGCATTAGTTGGCTTGATGGAAAGTTAGTTGGGTTGGCTCATTAAGAACCACACATGGTTTGATATGGGTAAAGTCATAAAGAATTGAGAAGGAAATATCACAGTGACATTGTCAGCCCGATTATCATTGAATTAGACGAGTTTTATTAATTGATTGATGTTTCATGATTTGGAAATAATTTGTATTTATGAATTGTGGGCTCATTTAGGTTTCGTTTGATATAATTTTCGTACTATTTTTAAAAGTAATTTTTAGTAGAAAATTTTTTTATTAAAAAGTTGTTTTAGAAAGCAGTAAGAAAGTAAATTTTTGTACTAGAAAATTATTTTAAAAGCAATAAGAAAGTTGTCCCAAACGAAATCTTAGTAATTTGGATGTTGAGATATATATATAGTGGTAATTACCCCCAATAAATAGGTCGAATCCCGCCAGAGGGTGCTGCCCCTTTGGACCCCTAGCATGTCCCCCCACCCCACCCCCGGGAAAATTAGGACTGGTTCCGCCCTTACTTAGCTTGGAGTGAGGGTAGCAAGACCTTGATGCGACTTATGAGGCAACACAAAAATGTGGAGGATATTGTTGAAAATAGTTAGGATCGGATGGCTCCCCTTCTGAAGGTGAATATGACATGAACTTAGGACAACATAAGAGATGTTATTAAAAAATTAGGAAGACTACTACAAATTATTGGCATAACATCCTTCCGGTGTAAAATGAGATAATAATGAAAGATTATGAAAATAACTAAAAATGATATAATGCATTATGGAGTTATTTATTGCATCTATGAATGAGTTTAATAGAGGTCATAAATCAAAATTTTTGAAGATTAAATTAATTTCAACAGTTTTAAGATTATTTTCTTTGCAAATTTTAGGATAATGAAAAAAACTCTAATTGAGACTCTAGTAAAACTTTAATGGCTCACACATTATAGCTAAGATTGTGTGGTTCCCAAGCATTACATCAAACCACACTAGAGCCGCCCATAAACCATGACAAAACTCTATAAAAGAGGTATGACCTCATTTTACCAACATCAATAAGATCATCATAACACTACATATAAATCTCAATAAAATATAAAAAGTAAGGATTTTTCCCATCCCAATCTATTCAGACAGGCCGAACAATAGGGGTATCAGTAATTGATCCAACCCATCAACCTGGCCTTAAAAATCCGAGTTGATCCGCTTAATAAATGGGTTGGGTTTAAGTTAACCAACGATATCATTTTTGACCCATAAATGACCTGTTTAATATCGTTTTGCTTAAAGTTTTTGCTTCTATATGTCATCTTCTTATCTTTGATCAAATATTCTAAACTTTATAGTTAATAAATTATATTTTTTTTAGTCAAAATAGGTTAACATATAAAACTGTCCCAAATGAAACAATAATCTATAACTATATCATTCTTTGATATATCTCACATGTCAACTTCATTCATTTACAATTTATACTATAGAATGATTGTAGGATTGGCCATTATTTCATAATAAAGTTTTTTTTTTTTCAAACATTGATGATTGGGCCATGAAAGGCCATACTAAAATGCAATTGGCCCTCATGGAACCAATTAGTAATCTTTTTATTTTGTTAGGCATATTTAAGCTCATTTCCTTATAAACAATCACTTGCTCGCCCACCTACCATGTCAAGCAATTAGGTGGGTGACTTTATTTTTAATGATTTATTACTAAGTTTCTTATTTTCAAAAAAATTACAGTGGGGCTGAAAAGAAAAAGATAATGACATTAATTTTTTGCAGCATTAAAGTTATTTTTACCAAATTCTCCAATTTAATTAATTGGCTGTCCCACCAGTCACTATCATCTTTAAAACAAAATTAAATACAAAAAATAATGTAAATATTGATATTATTTTAACTATTTATTTAGAGAAACTAATTATCGAAACCTAAATAGATAATTATGATAATTTAAAAAAAAAAGGTTTATTTATTAGTGAACTTTTCATGAGAAGGTCATTGCGAACTTAAATTATAGTTTTTACATCTGCCACTATTTTACGAATTTTTATTGCCTAGCTCAGGTTATCTGACGTAGAGATACATCAGGTAGCCTATAATAGATTGCCACGTGCTCTTACTCTTTACCGTGCGGCCCGACGACCCGACCCGGAACGGATATGCTCGGTATTGCTAGGTACTACTCGGTATTTGCTCGGTATTCTATTTTACACACATCATCACCTGATCGATGTATGCTATCTTTGATGTACTTTAAGGCTACGTTTGAGACAACGTTCTAAAGTAGCTTTTAGGCTTAAGTTTTTTTTTTTTAGTTTGAAAGTTGTCCTAAGTAGGGGTGTTAATATTTGATACGACCCGAAAATTTGACTTGAGCCTGACACGGAAATTTCGGATTCGGGTTAGGGTTTTCAACCCGTTTAAAAAATTGGGTCGGGTTCAGGTTGACCCGGAAACCTGGGAATTACAAGGATTGACCCGTTGACGGATGCCCGCGTCACCGCAGCTGCCCAAGGCCAATCACGTGTCTAGACTCGATCGTCGCGTCTGTGTCCACGTCGGTGTGACCACCGGGCTGTGTTGCTGACCCGCCTGCCCCCATCGTCGAATCCCCGCTCTCTCGTCGCATTCCTGTTGCAGGTCGCATCTTGAGAGAAGAAACTGGCAGCTGCCGCGCCGCTGCAGCTGACTTGTCGTTGCCATGTCCTGACGCAAACCGGAAGCGGGTTGGGCTCGAGTCCAAAAAACTGACTCGTTTGCAAAAATGTTACGGATTTGTGTTAACCCGAATAGTGTCGGGTCCATTCTGGATTCAACCCGAACCCGACTCGTGACCCAAAATTGACATGCCTAGTCCCAAGTGAAGCCGAAGTCTTATTCTTATTGTTGGATCATTTAGATAATTGCAATCAATTGCTTATATTTGTAATTGCTCTTTAATTTTCTTTTTGCCCATTGATTGTAATTCATTTACAGCATTGAAGTCAAATTTTATTTTATTTTTAAGGTGGGCGTGCACAAATTAACTATTATTTATCATCGATATTTTTAATAAATATCTATAATTCTAAATCCTAAAATTTTATGAAAGACAAAAATTTAAAAAATAATAATTTTCCGACCGCCCACAGTCTCCATATAGTGTAGTTGCATGTCAAATATCTCTTCTATAAATTATCCCTCCATCTTCATCTCTCCTTAATTAGTTAGATAAAGGAAGGAGAGAGAGAGAGAGAGAGATGGTAGAGAGAGAAGTGAAAGCAGAGGGTGTGCTAAGATTGTCATCAATGGTGCTGGCGGCCATTAGCGCGGCCATTGTTGGTCTGGATGAACAGACCAAAACCGTCTTCTTCACGAGAAAGAGAGCCACATCTCGGAAGCTTGAAGTTCTCTGGTAATAGACTTTTACTGTATTTCACAATAGTTTCATTTAGAACATCTTTCTTTCTATTATAAAGCATTTTTTTTAGTATAATTTTTTTTTGAACTACTCTTTGTTTGGGACAGCTTTCTTGCCGCAGCTTTTTATTACAAAATATTAAATTTTAAAAAATTTTGTACTAAAAAAACTGTTTTATAAAGCAATAAGAAAGCTTGATTTGAGATGATTTTCTTGCTGCTTTTTAAAATATTTTTTTAGTACAAATTTAAGAAGCATCAAAAAAGCCGCCCCAAACCATTTTCTCTCCATCATTTTGTTTTCTTTCTTTGATTCGCTCATGGAGTAACCCATCTTCTTAACAAGCGAACAAAGTTCTCATAAGAAATTTCCAATAAAATTTTCTGTAAGGAATGATCAAAATCTACCGAATATATATGACAGTCTGTGCTTTATTGATGGAGCTCAAATAAAGTCTATAAACTAACTGATCATAGTTCTATATTTGAATAAAAATTAATTTTAAGCATTTTTGTAATCCATTTATATTAATTTCTCCTATTTTCAAAAGCTTTTTTTTTTTTTTTTTTAGGGCGTTCACAATCATAGCTTCAGCTTCCTCTGGCTATCATCTTCTGCAGCTTTGTGGTTGTATAGCCATCGCTTGGCTGAGAAAAAACCATTCTCAGGTTGCCAACAAGTTCTTTGCATGGATTAGGCTTTTATTGGATCAGGTAATTAATTAATCAAATAAAATTTCTATTATAATAAAATGATATGAGGTAAATGTAGAATTTTTTTTATAATATTATATATGTTGCTTATTATATTTTTTTGTAATAAGTTTTATAACTCATTTTTTATGTTAATTTTTTAATTAATAAATTGGCTGAACATGATCGTAATTATTATAAAATGATAATAATAATTAAAAATTTTGTAGAATATAGTTATAATAAAATTAATGTTTTATCAATGAAATTGGTTGAATATGATCCTAATTATTCTAAAAAATATATATGAATAATTCAATGAAGTTGGCATATAAAAAAGTTTTTTTTTATCAATGAAATTGGCTTAACGTGATCCTAATTATTATTAGAAAATATTGGTTTAATAAAATTAATTTTTTATTAATGAATTAGCTGAACATGAACCTATTTTTTTTAACGAATAAAGGCCTCATTTTAAAGCAGCTTTTTAGTAAAAAAAATTAGGTTTAATTTGTGACTGTCTTACTGTTAGTATAAAAATTTTAATTTTAAAGAAGCATTAAAAATTTTTTACTAAAAAAATATTTTAATGAAGCATTAAAAATTCTTTTTTAGTATTAATTTTTATACTAGAAAGTTATTTTAAGAAGCATTAAAAAAATTGTCCTAAATGAAACATTAATTTTAAAATTATTTTAGAAAGTACTAAAAGAAATTATACAAAATGAAGCTTAGATAAATATATGCTTTAATTGTAATATCCAATTTGAGAAGATAATGTTGTCAGGCACAACTACCTTCATTTAAGAGGTAAGGAGCAATTAGACATGCCAAGAAATAAAGTAGCCAGAATTAGAGATCCACATGCTTTGGTGGTTGTATTCATTAATTACTTGAGTCATAGAATACAATTTATAGCTGAATTTTAGGCAACTATTTATCTTTTTGCTTTTAATGGTTTTATTTTTTTAATTATTATTTTTTTATTTTTTACTAGTAAAAATTAGAAAAGGATTGAATGATCTCCTATCTTTTTCTAAAGGATCAAAATAATATCTAATTATATAAAAGTATTAATTTGATCTCTAGATTATTTAAATAGGGGTCAACTTAATCTTTTTGTAGGATCACTTATATCTCTATTAAAAAAACAATATAATAAAATTAGATTTTGAATAATAGGAGATTATTTTGATAATGAAGTTAGAGAGACATGTTGATCTTTATCTCTTAAAAAAAAAACTATTTTATAATTATATTAAAAGTTTGAAATTCTAATATTGAAAAGTAGGCCTTGTAATTCAATATGTCACAGGCATAACAGATTGAAGATCATCTTAAGCTATTTATATACGGTGAAGCTATTACGTGTAGTTATCGGACGTCTTCTTAAGGTTAATTAGGATATGGCACATCACCATTACTTTTTTTTTTAAATTACACCAATATATTTTATACCGCTATTTATTGGATGATGTGATGTATTCTGATTGACCTCCAAACCAACCGATCACTGTATGTAATAATTTCTCTGGTATCTGAGGGTTCCATTGGACTTCATTTGGGCAGTTGAGCGATGGATGTAGTTATTAATGACTTACTGTTTTTCATTAATTTACTGTGGATATGAGTGGAAAATTCTTTAATTAATGTGTGGTCCTTTTGTTTAAAAATGAGAGTAAATGTCAGTACTTGACAAAATTTTTTAAAACTAGTGATTAAAGAAATTAAACAAGTCGAGCTAAGTTCGTATAATCTTTGATTTAAGCTTGAATTTGAATTTGAGCTTAATTCTAAATTGACTCACGAGTGAGCTCATTCAATATAAAAGAGAAAAAAATTATATTAAAATTATAGTAATTGTTATAGTCTTCATTTATGACAATTTTTAATTACTATTTTTTCCGTTACTTTAAAGAAATTTTATAGCAATAATAAAGTTGTTCTAAATGAAGTCATAATAACACGATAAAATGAATAAATTATAAGAAAAATAATAATAAATAGAAAATGATAATTTGCTTTAATCATTTGAATACTACTATATTTAAAGAATATTTTACATTAATATTTTTATACAAGTCTTCTAACAAGCTAACGAGTCGCTTCACACAAAGTTGACTCGCTAGCTCATGAAACGCGACTTATAAGAGCCGAGCAAAAGCTTTAACAAACTCAGCAGTTGGTTTGACTCACTCACAGCCCAAAGTACTAATATGAACCACGTAAAAAAACATGCAGGGAGTGGCTTATGCAATGTTTGCTGTGGCAGTCGCAGCGACGGAGGGATCGACGGTGGCGCTGAGAGGCGTGAATCCGCTGCAATGGTCTGAACTGTGCAACATCTATGGAAAATTCTGCCGGCAAGTCGCCGGAGGTTTAATATGTGGCTTTGCAGCATCCATTGCCATGGCCGTCGTCTCCTTCTTCTCTGCTCGCAATCTGTTCAAGCTTTACTCAGTTCACCATAGAAGGGAGATCTCCGGCCTTAAGAAGTGGAGATGGAATCTCTTCTATTCCAGTTTTAGCTAATAGTACATAAGAAGAAATAACTCTGGAGTCTGCAATAATCCTCGTCTTCAATTATAATATATAAAATCTCAAACATAAAAGTGTGTTGCGAGTATCAGAATTAGGCTTCATTTGGGATGGCTTTCTTAACTTCTGTTTTAAAAAATTTTCTAGTATAGAAATTTCTTGCTGCTTGTTTAAGCTTAAGCTTCTCATGATGATTGCTTTGAATTGTGAATTATCGAGATGTCACTAGAATGCAAAATAATGATAAAAAACATTTGATTGGATATTTCTGTAATAATTATGAAACAGTTATTTTATATTTTTAATCTTGTTTTGTACACTACATGAAAATAGTTCATTATCGACATATTTTTCCAACGGAATATTTTGCGTCGAAATTTCTATCAGATTTCCTACAAATTGAAAGAAATATTTCCGATAGATTTTTCAAGCACTTTTCCGGCCGATTTAATTTCCAGCAGAATTTCTGACGGATTTCCGACGTTTTTGACGGATTTTTAGTAATTTATTTAATATTATATTTAAATTAATTAATTTTCAAATTTTTTAATTTATTTAATTAATTAGTCATTAAATAATTATTTTAATTAATTATTAATTATTAGGCGGAAACTTCCAAATCATCAGCTGGAAAATGAACAAATTTTTGCCTGAAAATCTGTCGGTAATAGATGATTTTTCTGTACATAGTGGTAATCATGAGGCCAAAGTTCATTAGGCGCTAATAACCATTCAATTTTTTTGCTAATTTTTTTTTCTCTTAATGACTTTTGAAGTATCTTTATGCAAAAAAAAAATATTTCGAATATATTTTGCACTCAGATGAAACAAGTTTTAATTAATTAGATATATATTCTTATGCATTTCTCTAATTTTAAAATTATTTAAAGATGATTAAATTTAGCATATATAACCAGCCACCGCCGCTAGCCTCCACCATCGTCAGCCTCCCCACCAGCCTTCGGAAACTGACCACCACCGCCGTCATCATCACCGTCACCACCACTACCTCCACCTGCCGCCGGCCATCACCAATGCTGCTATCATTGTATCCCACCATCGTTATCATATTTCATTTCTTTTCTGCCGACCAAGCAGCTCTAAATGAAAAAATAAATTAGTCCCTTTCGTGCATGTGGATTCCATCGCATCATATTAAAATTACCTTAGCCTTCTGTTGCTAATGAATGCTACAGTTACCAATTAATTGCTCGTATTAATTCCTATTTCTATCAATAGAGTACTGACATCATACTTGCCAACAATACACGACTATTCAAAGCATTTTATAATAGGAAATTTACATACATAATTTGTGGCAAATTACCTATTCTACTGTTTAAATAAAGAGAATTCAATTATTTAAAAAAAAAAAAGCTGCTATATTTACATATATAATCAAACTCATCATTATTATCATAGGCTCTAATAAATATTATTATCATTTGTTAGGTTGTATAATTATGTGTTATAAAGTGGATAATTGTTTATTGAGGACACTCATCTTAGATGGAGAAATTATTATGTGCTGTCACCGGATCGTTCGGAGGCAAATCAGGATGCTTCATACCATGATCACCCAATATACAGTGGTACACATCACTGGTACACAGCAAAATGGTGATGTAGCATAGGGGTGTTAATTTCGGGTCACGGGTCGGGTTCGGGTCGAATCCGGAACTAACCCGAGTTCAAACAGGTTGACCCTAACCCGACTCGGATAGATAAACAGGTCAGAAAATCCTAACCCGGACCCGACCGGGTGGGTTGCCGGGTTGACCCGACCTGCCACGGGACCCGAAACGCGCTGACGCAATCGGGCTAGAGCGGGCGCGCGCAGAAGCGCCCAGGCTGGTGGTGCGGCGAGCACGGGTGCTTGCGGCGAGCGTGTGAGCGTGCGTGGGCAGCCTCGGCGCGTGGCGCTGGCGCTGGTAGGCGTGGCAACTTGCGCTGGCAGGCTTTGTCGCACGGGCACGGTCCTAGCAGCCGCGGACAATGCGCTTGGGTGGGGCAGCGCGGGCAGTTCAAGTTAAACAGGTTCGCAGGTTGACCCGGCAACCCGCCGGGTCAACCTGAACCAAACCCATTTTTCAAACGGGTTGAATCCGGGAACCCGACCCATTTTGGAAATCAGGTCGGGTCCAACCCGGATTTTTCGGGTCGGGTTTTCGTGTCGTGTCAAATATTGACGCCCCTAATGTGGCGCATCATGATTCACCTCTGGATGGCGTCAGATGACCGCACAAAATAATTTCTCCTTTGTTTGGCTGTATTGTGGACCTTTTTCGGTTGGAGCCTCTTCGCCCACCTTCCGTATCTTTATTTCTTTTGATGTGATTGTAGCTCTATGAGCATTTGTGGCTCAAGTTTCTCATAAGGATTTATAATTTTTTATTAGATTAACGCGTAGGCCTTTATGCGGTTTTTAACAAAATAATAATAGTAATAATTAATTTTAAAACAAATTAATTAAATGTTTTGACATCATCTAATTCATGGTCTTAGAAAAACAATATTCTCCTTCAATTAATAGGCCACATGTCATTTATGTTGATCGCAAAGTTTTATTTTTGAATATATTTGGAACAGCTGGATGTATCTTTTTTTTAATACCAAGTTAAAAAAAATAAAATTATTTTGATGACAAAAATATGCAGATGTTCTCATTCAATTTCTTCTCAGTTCCTTTAGTATAGATTGATGACATGATATGTTACCTTTGCCTTCTGTCATTTGATTGCTCATATCAATGGATTTTCTTTCAATGTCTTCTCATATTCACCAACAAAGGGAGACTAATCAATACATATTAATTTTTTTGAGATGAAGTTATTGGATTTAATATTATTTATGAAGTTATCAAATTTTGAGATGGGCCTAAGAAATTTAGAGAGATAAAAAAGAGAAAGTATGGACAAGAGATTCTCTTTGATCAACTTAGAATTATGTTAGTTGCAAGAACATTGAGAGAGGGTGAAATGAGCTATCGATGTGCATATTAAGGCTTCGTTTAGTACAACATTTTTAATGCTTCTTAAAGCATTTTTTTAGTATAAAAATTAGATTTTTTGTTTTAGAAAGCTGCTTTAATTTTAGTAGCAATAGACCTAGTGAAGGGATTGTGATTTTGGGCGATCAATTTATTAATAAGAGTACACGTTTTAGATGTATTGGATATATTGTTCAAAGTGGTGGTGAAATATATAGATGGGGATATTATAAGTAGAATTCAAGTTGGTTGGTTGAAGTGGAGGAATGCATCGGGCTTGTTGTGCGATAGAAAAGTCTCCCTCAAACTTAAGGGAAAATCCCATAAGATGGTGGTGAGACCTGCAATGTTTTATGGTATCAAATGTTGGCCATTAAAAGAGAAACATAATACTAAGTTAAACGTTATAGAGATGAGGATGCTTAGGTGGATGAGTGGCTTTACCCTTAGAGATAGGATACGAAATGAGCACATACGTGAAAAGGTTGGAGTAGCTCTAATGGAAGATAAGATTAGAGAGAGTCATCTTAGATTATTTGGTCACATTAAGCGGATGCCTTCTAATGACCCGGCCGTTAGAAAAGTTGAGGTATTAGATTTGAGTCATTTGACTTATGTTAAGAAAGGTAGAGGTAGACCTAAAAAGACGTGGTTAGAAAATATTAGAAATGATATTAATTTCTTTATTAGATTTACATAAAATTTTGACTTTTAACAAGGCAGAATGGAGAAAAAGGATTCATATAGCCGACCCCACGTAGTGGGACAAAGGCTTGATGTTGTTGTTGTTGTTGTAGAACAGAGACGATCTCCGGCGCAAGATTCCCCTCCCCGAAGGCGGGGAGACGGAGGCACAAAACCCCCAAAAGCGAAACCCTAGCAGAGCATATGGAAAGTGGGCCTACAACATTAATCTCGATTCAAGTAAAGAAAAAAAAAAAGTGTAGTTTTAAAATTGCACATAATTTTAAAATTGCACATAATTCAAGTAAAGAAAAAAAAGTGTTCTAAAGCTAACTCAAACAAAGTCTAAGCTTGTTTTGAAATTCATGTATTCAAATTGCACATAATTGTATGTAAATTAAATATAAGCAACACAAAGAATAACTTAGTATAGTTTTATATGATTAAGGAAGATATGTATATATATATATATATTATAATTTTGATTCTCAATCGGTATTGATTTATAACAACACGAGTATGAACGACCAAGTTATCTTAGACCAAAGCTACAATTTTCCTACAAGCATGAGATATGATGTGCTAGATGATTATGCTAATTGAAAAGTGAATGATTTTACTGCTAGTTCATGTAGAAGTTCAAGCTTTTAAAGAATCTTACAGCGCTAGCTCTTGAGGAAGTGTTTGCTAGGAAAACCTGATTTCTAGAGAAATGACTTCTACAGTGAATGCAATGAAAATTCTTAAGGTCTATTTGGTACAGTTTTTTCATTATTTTGTTTTTCGGATAGTAATTATAATTTTGTTTGATTACTACTTTCTTACTATCTTTAAAAAAAAATTATGGTTGAAAGCTTTTTTACAACTATATATAGTAGCTAAGTTGCTTTCCCAACAGTAACAGATTTCGTTTAGGATAACTTTTTTATTGTTTTTTAGTATAAAAATTAAATTTATGTACTAAAAAATTGCTTTAAAAAGCAGTAAGATCGAAAGCTGTTCCAAACGAAGCCTTAATTTCCAGGTTTTTGACTATTTTTTTCTCTTTGTTCAAAATGTTTTGTTTGAGAAAACGCAATGAAGCTTGCTTGTAACCAAATAATGAAAAGGATAATGAAATGAACGAGCTTAATTCTTTACTTACTACCAATGGATTTTTCAGAAGGAAAAAAAATTACAGTGCAGCTCTTCAATTTGAAAAAAAAAAAATCTACAGGAGATTTATGGAAATAGAATGCATTAGGTTTTGATTTGAATCCTTTTGAGACATATATGAAAACTTATTAGTTGTTGTAACAGCTTATGTATGTTTAGGTGGTTTTGGAAAGCTTTGGCAACTCGCATATGAATATTGAAGATGATAATCTCATCATGCAATTCTAATAGTATATATATTTAGGCTTGGTTTGAGAGGCTTTTTTACTATTTCTTAAATTAACTTTTTAATACAAAAATTAAAAATTTTATAGTACTAGAAAGATGTTTTAAGAAGCAGTAAAAAAGCCGACCCAAACGAAGCCTTAGTCATTGTCTAACAAAAGCAAAAAGAAACAACTAAAAATTTAAATTAACATAGAAAATAAAGAGCACCCCTAATTCAAATCCAATTTTGCAAAAGCTTCTTTCAATTATAT